CTGAAACCCAAAGGGAACCACAGAATCTCAGCATTGGGAGGGACCTCAGCTCAGAGGTCATCTAGTCTGGCACATACCTTAACAAAAACTTCCTCTCTGAAGTATCACCACAAAGGGTCATCCAGCCTTCGACTGAAGACTGCCAATGAGGAGAGCTTACTCATTCCATCCCACTTTGGGATATTTCTAATCATTAGGACTTTCTTCCTAACTTGCATTCTGACCCCTCTTCCATGTGACAGTCCTTCAAATACTAGATATGCCCCCAACTAAGTATCCTCTTGTCCAGACTAAACATCCCAAGTCCCTTCCACCAATCTTCCCGAAATATGACTTTGACACCTTTCAAACCCTAGTTGTCTTTCTCTGAGCATACTCCAGCTTCCCAAAATAGAGCACCCAAAACTAAACACTATACTCCTGCTCAAAGTCAAGTTTCCAGAGCTATAACTAGTAATGTTGGCCTCCAGGGCAAGCCTCACAAAATGTGCTAGGCAGAAGTGGTGTAAAACCCTGAAACAGACTTTTCAAAACATACATGGTGGGGAGCAAGGAGAACCCAGGGAATCAACTCTCACCCAGGGCAGATCCTATCAGATATCACTCTGTGAATGGGAAAGAGAGACCCAGAACACTCGAAGGCCCCAGGACCGGGAAGCCAGTTGCCAGGGCTCAGCATGGTGGGCTAGAGGATGGAAGGTGTTTTCCATGAACGGGGCAGGTCCACTCTAGGGAGGAATTGTTATGACTGTTGGTAGGGAAGAAAGAGTAGCTTCCTATTTTAACTAGTTTTTCTTGCTATCTAGGTGCTGAGTCCATTGTTTTTTTGCATTTCTGAAGGATATGTGTTTTAAACAACCCTCCACATTTCAGTGCTCTGAAACAAAGACCTAGTTATCTCAAACACTCCCCTCCCACCAGTTGTGGCTCTGCAGGAACAAAGCTGGATCTGGAGCCCAAGTCTCCTCAAAGGCATCATAATACAGTAGAAAGAACACTATTGGCTCTGGAAGTCCTGGCTCAAATCCTTCCTCTGACACTTACTACTTGTCCCATCTTGTCACTTACTATCTCTGGACCTCAATTTACTCAACTATAAAATGATGAGGTTGGATTGGATGACCACTGGGATCCCTAGATCTCTTTTTCCTTTTTTTGGGGGGGGGGGGGTTGGCAATAGGGTTAAGTGGCTTGCCCAGGATTACACAGTTAGTAAGTGTCTGAAGCCAGATTTGACTCAGGTGCTCCTGAGTCCATGGCCATTTCGCTATCCACTGTGCAACCTAGCTGCTCACCTAGATCTCTTAAGAATTCAGTAAGGGGCAGCTAGGTAGCACAGTGGATAGAGCACTGGCCCTGGAGTCAGGAGGACCCAAGTTCAAATATAGCTTCAGACACTTGACACTCACTAGCTATGTGACCCTGGGCAAGTCACTTAACCCTACTGCCTAGCCAAAAAAACAAAAAACAAAAAGCTAACAATTCACTGAGCATTGCCTATGGGCCAGGCACAGTGCTAGCCAATGAGGGCAAACAGTGAAGAAGCCAAAGACATGCTAAATTATAAGCTTCTGGAGGGCAGGGGCCATAAGCAATCAAAGTAACACTTATAAAACCACAACAAACAATACAAGATGATTTTCTCAATTATGAGATTCAGATTAAAGATAAGATAAAAAAGGCTTGGACCTTTGAAAGGAAAAAAAGACTTGGGTTTAAGCCCCATCTTTGCTACTAATTCACTGCATGATCTTAGACAAGTCAACTTCCTCTATGTAAAATGGTGGGATGTTCAGGTTATTTTTAGAACTGTATGCATCAGTGAGATCACAGAGGGATGGGGTGCTCAAGGAAGGATTCAGAAGGATGTGCCAAGACTCAAGCTTAAAAGAATAGAGAATTTGGATGGATGGCAGGGACTGGAAGATGCCTGGGGAAAAATGTATTCTCTATTTCTCCCTCTGACACCGGGCAGATGGGGGGGGGGGGGGGGCCAGGTGTAGCTATTTTCTGTTAAAATGGTTCACTTTACTAGAATTAAAGAATCATAGCTCAAGAGGTGGAAGTGACTTTAGAGGCCACCTGGTCCCAACCTTCCATTTCACAGATAAGGAAACTCTCACCCAGAAATATGAAGTGGTTTGTTCATACTATACAGGTAGTAAGTGGCAGAGGAAGGATTTGAACCCAGATCCTCTGATTCCAAAACTGACACTTTCTCTACAGCACCACAGTGCCTCAGATCTTCAAGGTTCTCTATTTCCCAGCCTCAGAGACAGTACTTCCACTCTAACTCGAACCCACCACCCTCTCCTCCTCCCCTGGAGGAATGAGTAAATATCTCTTTTGTTATGAAAAATCTCCAGGGAAGATATGTAAAGCAAAAGTCTGACCTTCTCACTCTTGCTCACATCCTCTGGCAATTCCCTATTCCCTCTACTATAAAATACAAATTCCTTGGTTTGGCATTTAAAACCTATCCCCAACCTTTCCAGGCTTATTACAAATCACTGCTTTTCAGGAACTCCATGTTCCAACCTAGTTGGGAAATGTACTCCCTCCTCACCCCCCCACTCTCAGATTCCCTCACTTCTATGAGGCTCACTCAGTTCTCATGCCGTGTTTTGTCTTTGGCAAATTAAATGAAAGGCACTTTTACTGACCCCCAAGCTTTCCATAACAGCAGCAAAGGCCCATCTTTTTAAATACAGACATTTGGCTGGTGTCACCATATGGCATCAAGACCTGGAACATCACTGCCTCCAAAGAAGTAACAGAGGGGCATCACTCAGAGGCCATGGAGAAGAGCATGGTGGGTGGGTGGGTGAGTGGGTGCAGGACGTCATAAATAGAGGAACTTCAAAGATGAAAAATGGCAAAGGATGCATAAAGTATAGCACTACACAAAAGGGAAGATGGACTGGTCACGTGGAGAGTGAGAGATGACAGATGTATGGCCACTGGTGCCCCAGCTATGTCACTGAGGAAGGTCTCCAGTATCTCCAGGGCTGACTCCCTATAGTGAAATTTGGGGAGGGACGTGGACAAGTCACACGTGATGGGCAGGCAGTGAAAAGCCTGCAATCTGCATCATTGGGGGAAACACCCAAATTGAGATCACAAAGTCATTCAAGTTTTGGGGTATCTTTATCTGTTTGTAGGATCTATTCCCCTTTGGTAGAACATATGAGAGCAGGAATTCCTTTCGGTTCTCTTTTAACCACAGTGTCTTATGGTGCGTAACAAATATGACTTGGATAAGACTAGAGTGAAGGAAATGCCCCCAGCCACCCTCATCCATCCATCTATCTAGCCAAGCAGTTAATTCTTCCTGGTGTCTAACTTGAATGCCTTCTGGTACACCTTAAAACCCATCTTACCAATCACAATTATTCACATCCATTAACAAGAACACCAATCAGCCTAAGGCCTAGAACCCCATCTCTGGAGAACTGTTACTGGTGGAGAGAATGAAGCCAGAAAGGGGCACGCCTTGCCCCAGAAAGTTCCAGCCAGTCAGACATGAGGCTGGGGACAGACGCCTCAGTAGCGAGGCTCTCCCAGATCTTGCTGCCTTCTCTCCCCTCTGCAGGCCCTCCTCATTTTCCTACAGCCTGAATCCACCCAAAGGTTTCCAAGACCACATGCAGACCCCCTTCCAGCCCCCAAAACTCAGCCTGTCTCCAGCTGTGGTTTAAAGAACAGGGGGAAAGATCAACTTGGAAAACTTTTGGAAGGAACAAAAGATAGAAAGGGGGGCATCTGAGGACGCGAAGGGATAAGTCAAAGGGAAGGGGCCCCTCCTTCCTAGAGAAGAGTTGAGATCAGTCCAAAGCTGGAGGCTCCCTTCTCCCCAGCCCATAATTCTGGGGCCCTGGGTGAATGGAGCATCCTAAATCTCTCTTCTGGTAGTTTTCTGGTGGCAAGTCAGTGAAGCAAGAGGATGTAAAATTTACAAATCCAGTTAGGATGTGGTTGTGGGGACCCCTAACCAGAAAGAAAACAGAAGGATAAAAACAGAAAGAGGCTACTTGGGTCAGAGAAAACTCTAGAATCTAAAACTTTTTCATTTTGAAAGATTACATTTAAGTCGTTACCCATCACCTCTGCTTAAGGAGGGCCTCAACTCCAACAGCAGCCTGGAGTCAGGAAGACCTGAGTTCAAAACTGGCCTCAGACAGTTACTAGCTGTGTGACCTTGGGCAAGTCACTTAACATTTATGTGCCTCAGTTTTCTTATCTGTAAAAAGGAGATAGTAATAGTACCTACCTCCCAGAATTGTGAAGATCTAATGAAATAATAATAAAGTGCTTAGCACATAGTAAGCACAATATAAATATTAGTTATGATAATAATAACAACTATCATATTAAATATAACAATTATTAGTCAGAAGGGGTCTCTCCAGGGATTCTTAATCTTTTTTTCATCATGGACTCCTCTGGCAGTCTGTGTATCCCTTCTCAGAATAATGTTCTGAACTGCATAAATACAATATATGGGATTACAAAAGAAACCAATTATATTGAAATATAGTTATCAAAACATCTCTTAGAAACAAGTCCAAAGAACCTCAAGTTAAGAACATTTACTCTACAAGTCTATAGGGAAGAAGAAACCACCACATCTCCTGTTTCAGTGTTTTTCTGGCCCTTGATAGAAGAATCAAAAGGCAGTGGGAACTTGGACAGGACCAGTGAGAAAGGAGACATTCCCTTGTGAAGTTTTCCCTGGAGACCCCATCCCTGGGCCCACAGATGGCCACAGCACAGTACATGAGTGCCTCACAGGCTGCATCTCATCAGACAGGGGACTGTGATTCATTTCCTCCTAATCCCGGCTGTGGTCAGAGAAGTCACCAGCCTCTGCTCCCCACCCAAACATCCCCGTACATCCCCTCCTACCCCACCCCCTTTCACACATCCCCAAACACAACAGACTTAACCTCAGCAGGCAGCTGAGAGAGACCAGGCAAGATAAGGAAAAGGCTCTTACTCACCACCAGTTCATGGCTAGAAGGAGGAATGCAGGGGGCAGCCACCTTCACGGGAGAAACAGAAAGGACAAGGTTAGGTTCTGTCATCAGCATCACTGGTCAAAGCCAGAACCAGTGGAGCCTCCCAGAGTTCAGGTCATCTATCTCCCCCACCCCCAATCCAATCAAGTCCTTTTCCTGGCCCAGTCAAGTGGGTGTGTGGTTATCCCAGCTGAAAGCTCTTCAGAGAAGGCGATGTGATCGCCTCCTTAATCCCATTATCTCCCACTCATTATGATCTCCAAGTGTTCTTTGCCTTGTCTCTATCCCCTTCTGCTGTGTTCCAAGTGGACAATCCCACCAACCCACCTACAAAAAGAGGACTCTCAAAGTTGTCCCTTAGGCCCCCAACAGACCCCGACAGTCTGGAGTTCTCATCCAAGCTCTGACACTTATTGAGAAGCAGCTGAAACTGTCTGAGCCTCAGCTGCCTCTTCTATAAAATAAGGTGATTCTAGACCACCTGTCCCGGCCCCCTGCAGCAATACGGTAAAGTCTAAGAACCTCTTCTTAGAATGATGTTTTTAAATGCATAAAGTAAAATATACAAGATTACAAAGGAAGTCGATTATGTAAATACAGTTATGATTATTCAGAATCTAAATTATATATGATATATATTACATATATCATATATAATATATAGATATTTTCAATGCTCACAGACCCCAGGCAAATAACCTCTGGACTTGCTGATTTCTCAAGTGCCTTCCAGCACTTTAAGCATATGATTCTGGGAAAGATGCATGAAAAGAGCCGATGAATTACTTTTTAAAAATCATTCTGAAAAGTGTTACACAAATGTAAGGATAATAAGATTATAGAGTTAGAGCTGAAAGGGAACTCAGAGGCCATCAAATCTAGCCTCTTCATTTTTATGTAACAGGAAAAAGAGGCACAGAGGGAGGCCAAGGGACTTGCCCAGAGTCACCCGAGTAGTGAACAGCAGAAAATGGATGCAAACCCAGGCCTCTGACTTCAATCCAGGCCTCTCTCTGCTGTCCCACATAGCCAGTGTCATTGGCCTTATTAAAATCCAGCAAGATTCAGAGCGAGAAGGAAAGAAGGAAACAAGCAGTTATTAAGTACCTACTATGTGCCAGGTACTATACTAAATACAAATATGTCACTTGATATGAGCAAAAAGGGAGGGGAGGGGGGAAGGAAGGGAGAGGAGGGAAAAGGAGGAGATGAGGAAAGGAGAGGAGGGGAGGAAAGGGGAGAGGAGGGGAGAGGAGAGCAGGGAGGAGAAAGGAAGGGAGAGAGAGGGAGAAAGAGAGAAAGGAAGACAGAGACAGACAAAGAGGCAGAGAGACACAGGGACAGAGGGAGAGGGAGGGAGCTGTCTACTCTTGTGATAACATTCCCCCCGCCAGTCAGGGCAGCCAAACCATTATCCTGACAATTAGCAGGGCCATTTATCAGAGACTCTCAACTTGTTCTTTATTTCCAGCCCAGGACACGTTTTTCTTGGAACTCAGTCCTCAACCTTGGCTCTGATTCCCCAGGCCAGCCGGCAGGAGAAGGGGGATGAAGGGGGAGACTTTTTCTCTGGCAAGCAAGTCTAGGAGCCAGTGCTGGGCACAAGCTGCGGCCGGTCACATCATAAGCGGCTGCCCCGCCTCAGCCTCAGCACCGACCCCCAGCTGAATGTCTGAGACGAAAGGGACACAACCAGGCAGATGTGGAGAAAGTGTGAGCCCATCCAACTCAGCTGTTGTTCCTGCAACCCAGGCTCTGAGCAGAGCAAGGCGAAGATTTCTTTTTTATTCCAGTCACTTGGACCAGTCCCTCCAGCTTGGACCCTGGAAGCTCCTTCTTGGGTCCCACTGCCCACAATCCAGATCACGCCAGGCAAGCACATTAGAGCAACCCAGAGCAGCACCCACACCAATACTGATAGGGCAGACCCCCCACGTTGGTGGTTCTAGACCGATTGTGGGAAGGAAGCAGGAACCAGTGAAAAGAGCCTCTGTCTAGGCATCCGGAACTCCTTAGTTCTTATCTCAGCCCTGCTACAAGCTCACAGATTGTTAGGCCTGGTAAAGATCTTAGAGATCACCCAGCTCCATCCATTTCATTTTAAACTTGAGGAAACTGAGACCCAAAAAGGTAGTTTACCAGAAAGTCACACACTCAGTAAAATGGTAGACTTGGGATACCAGCTCAGCCTTGCCCAATAACTACAACCTCGCACTGTGGAACTCCAGGTTAACCCATATAAGCTGGACTTCTGTTTCCCTTTCTGTGCAATGGGTTTCCTCCAGAGAAATTCTGTGAGACCAGAAATCAAAGGGACCTTGGAAAAGGACCATCATTTTGACTATTAAACATACTTGCTCATGAATAAAGGCACTTAGGTAAATGTACTTCCAAAAGTAAAAAGGTCTCTCTCTTTCTTCCTCCCTTTCCCTCTAGGCTGGGGGCTCTTAGCCTAGATTATAGATTTCAGAGCAGCCCATAAACTTGAATAAGAAAACCATCACATCTTTATTTTCACTAACCTCTAAGTGAAATTTAGCAAATCCATCAATTATTTAAAAACATTTTTCTGAGAAGGGGTCCATAATCTTTAGCAGATTGCCAAAGGGATAACACAGAAACAAGATTAAAAGCCCCTGATCTGGTCAGGAAAAGAGCCAAAGAGCTGCATGAGGGAGGAGGTACAAAAAGGAAGGTAAGAAAGGGTCTGAGGAGTTAGGCTGACTCAGCCAGATCAAACCTCTACCAGGGGTGGGGCCTCAAAGCCACATGTGGCCCTCTAGGTGCTCAAGGGCAGCCCTCTGACTGGTTCAAGGATCCAGCTTGAGGATGTAGAGGGTTACATGTGGCCTCAAGGCCTCAGGTTCCCCACCCCTGTATCTAAGCCCTTTTGCCTAGAACAGCTCCAAGTGGGTATGTGAAGCCCATTTCTACAGACAGCCACCTTCTCTATCACCTCCCTCTGTCTTCCTCTCCCCTGGGCCATGAAGAACAAGGCTTGCTCAAACCAGCAAATCTACAACCTAAACTCTGGGTCTGTGAGTTCTAATCTCAGCTTAGTCAGCTGTCTAGGACTCGTTTCCTCCCTTAAAGAAGCCTTTGACCATGCCCCCACCCCTAATCCCACCAAGTCTGGGGAAGGAAGGAGAGGAGAGGGAAGGTTTTCCAAGATCACTCTCTAAGTAAACAGCCCACTTCTACCCACCTTCCAAGCCGAAGAACAGGGCTGAAGGCAGATTTTAGAAAACATCCCAACTATGCACGGTGGGGAAATGCTGCCTCCACCTCCCTGAAATCTTTCTGTAAAGATCACTTTTACCTTTGTGCTAAAATGGTGATTTTTTTAGCCCCCTGGGGGTTTAGTAATGTCCTTAGAGTGTAGTCAGGAGAAGAATATTAGATTCAGAGTAAAAAGAACTGGGCTCACATCACAGCTCTGCTTCCTCCTACCCATATGGCCTTGGTCACCTCCCCTCCCCCTCTCTGGGCTTCAGTTTCCTCGTCTTTACCATGAGAAGTTGAAATAAGAACTTTTTTTTTTTTCCCAGTTCTAAATTCTATGAGTTTGGATTGGGGAAGATGACTCTCCTTAAGTGGAGGTATGGGTAGAGGGACAGAACAGATGGTAGAAACCTTTTGAAATGGATGAGAAAACAGGGATATCCTATCTTAAAGAAGGAAGATGAAGGGACTTTCTCCAAGGCTGAGAGCACAGTTCAGGTGTCCAACCCCATTACTACAGAATTTCTACTGAGTTCTTAGGACAAAGGATCCAAATGGCAGTGGGAGAGGATGGGGCAAGGCACGAAGCCTTTAGAAAGAGGTGGTCCCACAGAGAAGATAGAGTACCCAAGGTCAGGCGCTCAGATGTCTGGGTTCCACTCATGACCCACTGCTCTCCAGCAGCCCTTTCCATCCCTCCACCCCACAGCTGTGCATTCCATACTGGCCGGACCTCCGGCTTTGTTTTGTGTTTGGGTGTTTCTTCTTGTTCTTTTTTTTTTCTTCTTTTAATGGAGAATTCTTTCCTTAAAAGGCCCTCTCCTTCCCTGTGGCGGCTCTGGCCCCTGTCCACCGGCTCTGAGGGCTTGGAATGTGCCAGGGAGGGTGAGGGCCCCCTGCCATGCTGACGTTCTCTGCTTCACATACTCCAGGGGTGCTTGAGAGCACGTCCCTTCATGCCACCTCTTTTGGTCCCGTCCTTTAAATCCTTCTCCAGGCCAAGGGAGAGCGGATGACATTAAGCAATGGGGTCCGGGTTGGGAGAGGTGGGAGCCTGGAGTTATACATGCTCAGTCAGCCACTACCCCACACAAAGTAGCATTCAAAGGATACCTGGGTCCTGGCTCTAGCCCTTGAACCCTGAGCAAGCCTCTTCTTCTAGCTTGGGCCTCAAACTGGGACAGAATGCTGTCTCTGAGAACTGGTCTTCCCTCCGTCCTTGGCAATCACCAGTTACAGAAGGCATCAAGAAAAGCCAGAAAGAAAAGGCAATGAGACCACTGAGAAGGCCGAGTAATCCTAGGCCATAGCTGGGGTCAGAGTGTTCAATGTCAATCAGTCAAACCACAAGTAAATATGTACTGAAAGCTTTTTCGAACGCATGGCACTGAACACAGATTCAATTCAGAAGACAGAGGATTGGTCCACAAGTGCCCCTAGGCATTTATGCTCTGAAGTTCAAGGCAGCACAGAGGAAATTAATACATAGGATAAAATCTGAGAGACAGAGAGATGAGAACCTGAATGGTGGCATAAGGCTGGGGTACTCAAGCCTCCCCAGAAAAAGGGCAAGGATTGACTCTCTATCGTTAGTGCAGGGCAGCAGCTCCCTGCACTTTTCATCCTTCTCCACTTTGCTCTCAGAATCTCCAAGCCCTTTACACACAAGGGGTCCCACTCTCTCTCCAAGAGGCACAATGGGAAAGAATGGCCTTTGTCCTCAACCAGAAGGGATGCTTACAGAGCACAACCCTTCATCCCAACTCATTTGGCCTCATCCTTTAAATGCAAGGTACCAAGCA